AAAAATAGGGTATACTGATACCGACTGATGCACATTAGAATAATACAAGGATGCAAAAAATTATGTTATTTCTGGTTTTTGGAGCACTGCTCTCATTTGTAACAAAAGTCCGCGCAAAATTTTGGTCAGAATAAACGATAACATTCAAAGCACTGCATCTGAGCCTGCAAGTTCTCTCAAAAAGCGCAAGCAGCTATCAATAGAGCTATGAGCTTGTACTATCTAAAGCGATCGGCATATCAACCAACAAACCACAAAGTTTCAAGTGAAAATTCTGGGAAGACTCTCATAGCAATGCAAAGAGCATTTGTGCCGATAAAGAACTGTTCAGATATAACGAAGTATCATTGATTTTGGTGTTAGAGCCTTTTTATTGCTTTCAAACTACTCGGAAAGGATATTCTTTCTGTTCGTCGTCATTAATTTATTAGAATTTACGACTGCTTGCACTCCTCACTCTATAATAAAATCACTTGAATTTACGTTAAATGCAATACTGTATACTGCAGAAGGTCCACCTGAACGCTATTCTTCAACTGCTTCTAACAGAAATGTTGCTAACTGCTCTGGTATATTATTTATATGTCTGGTTCATAACGATCGTTCATTAACCATACAGACCTTGCCAGGTTCGAAATCCCACAATGATACGTTGAATACCTGCCAGATACGACTGCAGCCACCATTTCATTGCCTTCATCATCCAGAAATTCCCAGCCAACTGGTGATTTTGACTTGTCACAGTTTTCAACTCCAAATAATTGCCTTCTGAATAACGTTTTGCATCATGAGCATGTTGATAATACGATAATACTGTAGAAATGAATCAAAGGATAATTATCATCGTAACAACGATACTAATGATATTTTACCCGCATCAAAACAATCCGTTTCTGCTGCGAACATAAGTCGAACGCCATCTTCGTTTTCTCCTAGCTTTGCCCTGAGGACGACATCGAATTCTTTCAGATTAGAAACCGCTTCAGAAGTGTTCGGTTCCGACTGAAAACTGTAACAATAAATGTGTACACATTTCAAAATTTAGTATCCATTCATCATCAGAAAAATCAAAAATATTAAGTTGGTAATCAAAATACGATTAGATTTACTTGGAACTGAAAAGAACTACAGGACTGGTTAGAAGCGAAAGCAACGGGCTATTGACAGAATGTGATAGTTGAAAGGTCAATCGACTAACGTTAGGACGATCTGTTGTAGCAAATTGTTCAAATTTAAAACCCCAATAACACATCAATTTTTGACGATCTGTTCTCTCAGCAATCTCTTGTTTCTTTTTTTCGGTTTGGAATTCGCACAGAAAAATTGTTGAACCGATGCGAACTGCACATAATTTCCAGCCTTCTCTCTGATCATAAGGTGTTGACGCGATTCTTGTTAAAAGACCACGATAGCAAACAAAATCCGTTTCGTAGCAAATCTTTAAAAAAAAACGTTTAGAAATTTATAGACTCTCACAATCGTCTAGTGAATTATTCTGATCAAAAATGAACGAAAAACGAGCTATTGCTTCTCCATGAGAGTCCATTTCTTGAATTAGTTTCATTTATAAAAGAGTCATCTGAACGAGAAAAAAATCGACGTTATCCTGATGCACTAAAAAGAACGGTTCAAAATTCACAAAAAAAACATTATTATAATTGCTAATATTACTACTACTACTACTATTATTATTACAAGCATTAGACGAAAGAACATGCCACCTACCTCTCTGGTTGGAACGCCCCGCTGTTTGGCTTGACAAATTAGCCATTTGCAAAGAACATCCAATTTTTCACCGTCTGGACCGTTGAGATCATCTTTCGATTGGAATGAATCGTATCCAAGATTCAAATCAAAATTTGGTTCTTTGGCTTGCAGTATTTTTTTGTGAAAATATCTTGCTTCAGCACGATTTAATTCCACTTCACGTTCAGCTGTCACGCTAAATTCAGCAAAAACGTCAGGGTTCCAAGATCTGGGAAAATCTTTTCTGGATGATTCTTTTGCGACGACAGGTACAGATAGAAGCAATGAGGTCATCTGAAAGTGAGCTAGTATTACCAACAATAATAATTGATGAAAAATAACCAATTGCTGCTGCATCGACATTGTGCTCTGATCTTCATTTCACTACGACTACAAAACATATGAAGTTGTCATTGATAGCGCTAAATAAAGCAACACCATGCCAAAATTGGCTACAAAAGTATGGGACGACTGTGATTGACGTAGGCTTTACCCTATCCTTGCATTAGTCCCCCATCCCACATTGCTAACACAAACCAAAGCGCACTTTTGCAGTGACGCCACTAGGCAATGAAACCTAAGCAATGCGAGCGTAGTATGTCGTCACTCGCTGACGCAACTAACGGCAACGCAAACGAACAAGTGAATGAATAATGCACACACAATAGTGAAGGCACAAAAAGTGAATAATGACAAGCGAAGCAAAAAAAAAGAATGCGTATAACCACGGAACGGAATCACTGAGTTCTAACAGGGCATCTGTTCTATCAACTTGAATTCTCAGAATATGGTCACATGCAAAAAATCAGAACTCCATATACACGAGAAACACAATTTCCATGAGTGCACCTTTGTAATGCGATAGAGTGATACGGAGTACCAATATCACGGTAAGCTAGTAGTTACATCTGAAATTTCAGTTTTCTTTAAAACTTATGGACTCAGAACCTTGAAAAATGACTACATGCAAGAAATCAAAACTGCATATGCAGGATAAGAACAATGATTTCAGGGATTTCAACTGATTGATTCAAGCAATTAAGAATGATGACAACAGTGTGTATTGTTTCACTAATCAGCCAACATTTCATACCACATACTTAAAAAAACTCCTGGTGTACCAACCGATGAAACAGTCATTAATGAAAACTTCTCATTGTTAAAGTAGCAATGAAAAACTGATTTCTCTTCGATGTCTATTCTGCAGATATCATGGAACAAGGATACGTGGAATACTGTTGATGATTTTATTTGCTGATTGTTGATTATTGATTAAATGATCGGGAAATTTTGAAAAATTACATGATCAAAATGAATTAAATTCAAAAAATAAGTAGCAACAACTCTGGTTCAACATGCATATCCAGTTGATCTCTAGCGTTAAGTATTCATTGATACGAGAACTAGAACGAAAAATAGTTACAAATATAACAATTCGGAAAAAAGTGTGAGTGAATTTTCCTTTCGTCGAATCAATGAGATGTGACTAAACGAGTGGAATGTATCAGAATAACAAGAATTTAAAAAATTACAAAAATAAATAAAAATAAAAGATTTTTGGAGATGTAATAGTTATCCGAAGAATATTTTTAGAGGTTGTTGGAAAATTGCAGTTTTCGCAGCAATTCATTCAAGTCTTTCCGCAATCTGCCACTTAGTAATTCTGATCCTCTGAAAGACTCGTATTTTGATGGAGCTATTTATCGGATTAATGAATACTTCCAGGAATTTTGGAATCTTTTCAATACGTAAATTCAACACATCATGCATTCAAAATGCTTTCTCATAAATGTCCACTGCACTATACGATTTGCAGGCATCATATAACATTTTTTAGTCATACAATGAAAGAAAACGATTGCATTTTCAGATTAAAACGTATTAATTGAATCACCACCGTTGAATTAATATCGTTATTATCACTGAACTGAATTTTTCTGAAGTTTTAAAAAATTCTCCAATCGTATTATACTCTTCCCATCATATGCTCCAATCGGCTCACTTTCAGACATTTTGAATTTATGATGTAGTGTTCGAGAGCAGTTTATTATTTCAATCAACAACAATAACAAACAAGTGTAAGTTTTAATCATAATTTCCGTTATCTGGTTTATTCATTCATCTGAACTTTCTCTTACTCCAGTCCATTCCTATCTCAATTAGTGAGTTCGATATAATGCGTTATTGCTGTGCTTATATCATGAATATTGATAACTTATCATAATACAATGATAACTTTTCCACGTTCTAAACGATCGCATTCTCATCAAAACAAATTTCAATGCATTGTGTTTACCTGCAACAGTATCAACATTATTCATATTAAGGTATTAACAAAAGGTATTCAATTTCACGCATAAATTCGTGTTCAATCTACATTATTTCTTCTTTTGAAGAAGGCAACAGCGCGTTGTTAGCTTGAATGGGTGTAACACGATTCGCTGAGTCTAGGTGTTGGGCTCAAGTTTAGCGTGTTTCTGATTCACTCATGATAGTGCATGTGATTTTTTTTTCAGCTAAAAATCCAAATCTGGTTATTTCTTCTACGATCAGTTTTATTTTTTGTGCGTTTTTCTTGACAATTTTCGCGAATAATGCAAGTTTACAACGTTTTCGCCATATTTATGCCTTTGAACGCTCTATCACTCGATCAGCACCTAACTGTACCAATTTGATGAATATCATCTTCAGATGGTCCATACGCTCATGTTCAGTCTTTTTTCATGAGTGAAAACTTCCGCAGTTGGAGTATAAGAAAATTCATTCAAGTGGAGCTGATTCTTCGACGCGCAATTGCTCGATTTGCAAATTCTTTTGATTGATTTTTTAGGCGCCATGTTTGCTCAGTTCAGATCAATAACTCTCACAATTCTTTGGTGCCATCGTACAGAAGAGATCCCTAAAATGTCTGAAAATTTTTTATGCACATTTAATCCAGATGTCACCAATGTTTCAGCTGCTTTACTGAATATGTATTTATAACATAAGGATTTAATGCACTCTGTGATTTTGACATAAATATAATGACATTTGTTCACATCAATGTTTTCAATGAAAACAACACCACACAAAGGATGAGATGCATTGGAACCCCTTTTAAAAGACCGTCATTGGCGGATCTGAATCGATATTTATCGAAGTCTTCTCGACTAGTCACGAGCTGTTACTAATCCTATTCATTTCACACTCGAATCTTGTAGGACTCAATTCAATAACAACAGTGATAGGAGCATATAATTAGTATTATTAATAAAATGATTATAATAATGATATATTTTAAAAAAGAAAAGTGTTCAATTGCATATAAATACACTTTTAGATTCTCAGCTGAAAATCTTGTTTATAAGTATCCAGAATTCGCAAAAGGACATAAAGCAATAAAATTTTTGCCTTATCTTGCAAACCATTTCTGAAAATTCATCAAGATGCATGCTAAAAGCAATTAAATAAAAGCAGACGTTTTCGCAGTAAATGAGATGTTGGCGAAGAGTGAAATATCCGAAGCGATAATCAATTTAAAAGTGCGAGGAAATTCGAATTGGGAAATATAAAAATCTTAGTTATTTTTTTCTGGAAATTTTTGCATTGGTAATTATCACCGAATTGAACAAAATTTCTAGCAAAAGAGGATTTTTCAGTGAATATCCATAACATAATACGTATTATGTTCAGTATTAGGTGATAAATTTGTTCATCCTTTCGCATTTCTTCCAGAATGCACTGAATGTATACTCTCATGGAGTAGTGTCGATGGGCATCTGAAGGCTCTTTGCAACAGGTATATTGAAACATCCTAATTTCACTCGAGCTATACGTAAATGATACATGTGAGCATCCAGTTCTAAACAACCACTCAAATGGTCTCGACCAATGTCAATCTAAATCAAACATAATTACACGTCATTAGTTTACAACTTTGATTAGCTGAAAATTTCTCATTTATGTTTTTGAAATATTGGCCGATAAAAAATGTAATCGCAGTCAATTTTTTGAAAACAATCACCAAAACATTGCATGATTCGTTCCTGTAACAATAAATTTACTGCTGTATTGAGAAGAATTGAGAATATAATTCAAGAATTGACTGCTACATGGAAAGTTTGAAAAATCATGTAATGTAATTCATGTAGTCTGAATGAAAAAAAAGGAAAAACAAATAAGATGCTTCGAAAACGAACGTTCACTAAGCGAATGCATAAAGCTGCATATTCTGCCAGCCCTGGCACTTCAAAGCAGAGCGGTGGTGGATTACGCACTGAAAATTCATTCGCAAATTTCATTTAATTTCAACAGTGAAAAAAGTTATTGTCAACAATAGAAGGAGGAAATCTATTCATAAATTTATTGCTCATCATATCAGTACTCTCGTACGATGTGCATGAAGATTTTTTGTTGCCTCTTATTATGAGCAAACAATATTTGGCACACGCATCCATGTTTGCAAAATTCAATCAGTTATCAAATTTATCAACAACTATTCCTATACGCACACGTTCCAGAGGTAAACAAATGCAGGCAAAGATCACAGCTTATATTTTTTCTTTAAAATTCTTCCTAATCAAAATATGAGTTCGATTGATACGATAGAATACGAATGCACCAATTTTTAATTGATGTTAAATAATAGGTTTGTAGAGAAAATATTATGCATAGTGTTTGTCGGGGGACGGACTCCCCGTCGGGGACCCCGGCGGGGAACGCGGGGAGCGCTTCCCCCGCGCAATTTGCTTTCCGACTTTTTCGCGGGGACCCCCCGTCCAATTTTCTCCGCGCGGCCCCCCGGGCGATCCGCTCCCCGACTTTTTCTCGGGGACCCCTCCTGTCCAGCTTCGCTCCCCGTCCTCCCCGACGGGGGGGGGGGGGGNGATCCCCCCAGCGCAATTTGCTCTCCAGCTTTTTTGCCGGGGTCCCCCGTCCAATTTACTCCCTGCGGGGATCCCTCCCCAGCGCAATTTGTTCCCAAACTATTTCGCGGGGACCCCCCCCGTCCATTTTTCTCCCCGCGGGGTCCCCCTCCGTGCGAAAAACTGCTCCCCGACGAACACTAATTATGCATTCAAAACTATCTATCGCATCAATCGAACTTTCAGTCATTCTAAATTCGTAATGGAATTGGAACAGATACAAAACTACTAGAACTGCTATGGGCTCTCGTGTCGTCTATCTTTAAGATACTTCGGAATAAATGAAATTTAAAAAAAAAACACTGCTATAATAACTCACGTGAGAATTCGTTCCGGAATATGACATGATCATTTATTGAAACAGTTAATTCCAGCCCCAAAATTTGAGGG